CTCTCTCTCTCTCTCTCTCTCTCCCCCTCTCTCTCCCTCTCTCTCACACCTCTCATGCTCCCTCTTTCCTTCTCTCTCTCTCTCTCTCTCTCCCCCTCTATCTGCCTCTCTCTCACACCTCTCATGCTCCCTCTTTCCTTCTCTCTCTCTCTCTCTCTCCCTCTCTCTCTCCCTCTCTCTCACACCTCTCATGCTCCCTCTTTCCTTCTCTCTCTCTCTCCCTCTCTCTCTCTCTCTCTCTCTCTCTCTCTCTCTCCTGAATATTACCAGAGTGACTTTTGCCTGATGCACTGTATGCCATTTTGAGTTTCAAACAGAGAGAGACAGTCTGAATGGAAAATTTGAGGAATGAAGGCAAAAGAGAGAAAGGAGTGAGAGAGAGGAGGAGAGGAAGAAAGAGATAGAGCAGCGATTTAAAAAAAAAGAAAGGAAGGAAGGGGAAGGAAGCAGAAGGAGGGCGAGGGAGTGGTAGAGAAGATTAATGTATGGGGAGAAATAGCGATAAATAGAGAGAGGGAAAGGAAGAGAAAGAGCAAAGGGAGAAAGGGATTGTGGAATGAGGGTGCAAGAGAGAGTATGAAGGCAAACAGCATCTGACATGGTTTCTCCTTAGAAAACTCAAAGTGCTCTGTGAATCCTGTGTCATGAATGCATCCTGTATAAAATTCTTATATATAGTAGAGTTACATTGTAGTCTTCCTTTATAAACTCCTGTGCTTTCTAACCATTCCTTCAATGCAAGTCTGCCAGTATAGCCAAACTGACTGACGCGAACATACTGGTCCCATGCTATTTATCCATTCCCTCAAGTCAATAAGGTACATTTCAGCCTTGTTAGGAAGAAAGTCCCATGTACTGGTAGACATTGAGATCCGAGGAGATGTAAAGCACGACCTACAAAGCAGGAGGAATTGGCTGCACATGGAATGAGCAAGTATGGCTTCCCCAAATGTAACCTATAATTGTGCATTCCGACTTTGAACGCTCCGAATTCAATGTTTGAGAAGCTATTTTGTACTAGGACGGTGTGGGGACGGCGCCGAGCCCTGCGTACACTCGGAGTGATGCTGCCCGTATCTGTGTGAGCACCTGGAATAAAAGAGACATTACGGCAATCACAGAAGGTCACAGCAACTATGTGCACAAAGCAGAGTATCACAGGAGGCACAGTGTGACAGCACAGAACATGGAGGAGGACATCTACCAAATCTTCCTCAAGACTTCAAAAGGGAACACTGAAGGCTGTGATGGTGTGTGATGACTGCCGCCGCTCACTGACTCAGCTTGGTACTGACATCTATGAGAGTGGCCTTGTATATCTCACTAGTGGTTCTTGACCCTGAAAACTGCAGTATGTGCTGAACTGTATATGCCAGTATTTGAATTCTGCTGGTAGAATAGCTGCTGACCAGAGTGGAATCCCTTTGATGTGTTTGGCTCGCTTGATCATGTGCTGCAATATATTTTTGCTTTCTAAAAGTGTGTTAGAATTTATAGGAGTCAGCCCACAAAAAAACTGATACTTCAGTGTTTGGTAGATGCTGGGGAGTTAAACCCCCTGACAGTCTCTTCTGTCCCTCAGAGATTCTATTTGTGAGATGTCTTCTGGGTCTGGGTCTGAACAGATGCTATGTCCTTTATGAAGAGCTTCCATAATCCCTATGCTGACTTTCAGGTCTGTACCCCTGCTGTGCCAGTTCCAGTGTCTACAGTGTCCATTATGTCCACCATCCCTAGGGCTGAGTTCTCAGGTCTGTACACCTGCTGTGCCCATTATGAAGGGTTCCCACTACCCCTATGCTGAGTTATCGGGTCTGTGAACCATTCAAAATTAACAAGCTGGCAATAAACCTTAACAGCCCAGCTAGAATACAATATGACTCAGTAGAAGACCCGGGGCACTTAGAAGACCTGGGGCACTCAGTACAATACTCAGTGCACCCTATAGAAGACCTGGGACACTCAGTAGAAAACCTGAAGCACTCAGTAGAAGACCCAAGGCACTCAGTAGAAGACCCAGGGGAATCCGTAGAAGACCCTGGGCACTCAGTAGAAGACCCAAGGCACTCAGTAGAAGACTCAAGGCACTCAGTAGAAGACCCGGGGCACTCAGTAGAAGACCCAAGGCACTCAGTAGAAGACCCAAGGCACTGAGTAGAAGACCCAAGGCACTCAGTAGAAGACCCAGGGCACCCAGTAGAAGACCTGGGACACTCAGTAGAAGACACGGGGCACTCAGTAGAATACCCAGGGTAATCAGTAGAAGACCCAGGGTAATCAGTAGAAGACCTGGGGCACTCAGTAGAAGACCTGGGTCATTCAGTAGAAGACCCGGGGCACTCAGTAGAAGACCCGGGGCACTCAGTAGAAGACCAGGGGCACTCAGTAGAAGACCTGGGGCACTCAGTGGAAGACCCAGGGCACTCAGTAGAAGACCCGGGGGAATCAGTAGAAGACCTGGGGCACTCAGTAGAAGACCTAGGGCACTCAGTAGAAGACCCAGGACACTCAGTAGAAGACCTGGGTCATTCAGTAGAAGACCCGGGGCACTCAGTAGAAGAACCGGGGCACTCAGTAGAAGACCAGGGGCACTCAGTAGAAGACCTGGGGCACTCAGTGGAAGACCCGGGGCACTCAGTGGAAGACCCAGGGCACTCAGTAGAAGACCCAGGGTAATAAGTAGAAGACCTGGGGCACTCAGTAGAAGACCTGGGGCACTCAGTAGAAGACCCAGGACACTCAGTAGAAGACCCAGGGTAATCAGTAGAAGACCCAGGACACTCAGTAGAAGACCTGGGTCATTCAGTAGAAGACCCGGGGCACTCAGTAGAAGACCCGGGGCACTCAGTAGAAGTCCCGGGGCACTCAGTAGAAGACCCAGGGCACTCAGTAGAAGACCTGAGGCACTTAGTAGAAGATCCAAGGCACTCAGTAAAAAACCTGGGGCAGTCAGCAGAAGACCCAGGGCAATTGGCAGACATCCTGGGGCACTCAGTAGAAGACTTGGGCACGTGCCCTGGGTGCCAAGATTTAGCAACACCCCTGGGCCCTGTTCCATTACATAGCGGGTTTGTTGTCATATTTCTATAAGTCATATTTGTTCCTTTGATAATATGTTCTAAATTTAGAAGTATCAGTTTGTGTTATTATTATTAAATTTGGATGTAATATTGCAGCCACCGAAGTAACATATGTGAACAGCTATACACATGTATGTGTATAGACCTTATAAAAGCTGATTGTAAATGTAGCAAACATAAGAGATGTTTTTAGGACATAGTACATGACTTTTCAAATTTAGTTTGGCACCTTAAAAGTCCATCTCACTAGGCAGCTTACGCAAACTTTTCTTTCTGCATTGTGGCTGCCCTCTGCCTAGTGTTTGCCTGGTGTCAAAATATATATATATATATATATATATATACTGACTTGTTCGTAAAGGGTTCAGGCTCTTTGCTAATCTCAGCTTTACTAGCCAGGGGAGTAGCAAGCATCCAGCGAGTTATAAAACATACGTATGCTTTTCCCCTGTGTCTCACTAGGTAGGGGTCCCAGGGTCAGGATGGTGCCCATGGAACCTGTACCTTTATAAGGTCAGAACTGGCAGCTCCCCCAAAAATCTTGTGTTTCTGGTGCTACGGCCCTAACTCTACCCTGTGGAAGTCCTGAGTTGTGTCTGGATGTCCTGTATGTGTCATGGTGTTGCTGCAGGTTCTGCGGGGAATACAAGTAGCGCCTTCCTTTCAGACTAACCAGGCTCTGCAGAGAACATTCCAGAAATTATTATGGCTTCACTCCCAGGTAGCCAGAGAGAACCTGAAAAATGTGCAAAATTAATCTGTGCAGAGTTAACAGACTGAATTACGTCAACACTCTCCGGACAGACAGACGTCATTTATATACAAAGTCATGGAATCTGAGGACCAGCGCACAGTGTTTAATAGGCAACAATGTATCAAAAGTACAGCAAATGTGTGATGTGTACATAACTGAATGCATTTCACCCACTCCGCCCTCTAGTGTTGGGTATATGGCATTGCAATTATGGCATTCTTCCAAACTGACTAGAACCTTCTCAGGTTAGAGACGAGCAAGCCTTAACCAGTAACAAAAACTCAGTTCCCATAATGCAAGAGGAGTTTCCTCTGTTCTGTGTAATATGTTCTGTCAATTAGCATGATCTAGTTGGGAGTAGGGAAGGGGGGGGGGGCAGCCACAGACACAAATCTGTCTGTGGTGTCATGTGCCAGATTATATTGTATGTTATCTGTTCTCCCACTGCAAGGAAAAAAAGGTAAATATCTTGGTTGTATTTAGGAGAAGGAGCTGGGAGTCAGGAAAAGGAGCTGAGAGTCATAAGAAAGAGCTGAGAGTCAAGAGAATGAGCTGAGAGTCAGGAGAAGGAGCTGAGAGTCAGGAGAAGGAGCTGAGAGTCAGGAGAAGGAGGTGAGAGTCAAGCAACGAAGCTGAGAGTCAGGAGAAAGAGCTGAGAGTCAGGAGAAGGATCTGAGAGTTAGGAGAAGGATCTGATAGTCAGGAGAAGGAGCTGAGAGTCAGGAGAAGGATCTGATAGTCAGGAGAAGGAGCTGAGAGTCAGGAGAACGATCTGAGAGTCAGGAGAAGGAGCTGAGAGTCAGGAGAAGGATCTGAGAGCAAGGAGAAGGATCTGAGACTCAGGAGAAGGAGCTAAGAGTCAGAAAGGGAGTAGGGAAGGGGGGGGGGGCAGCCACAGACACAAATCTGTCTGTGGTGTCATGTGCCAGATTATATTGTATGTTATCTGTTCTCCCACTGCAAGGAAAAAAAGGTAAATATCTTGGTTGTATTTAGGAGAAGGAGCTGGGAGTCAGGAAAAGGAGCTGAGAGTCATAAGAAAGAGCTGAGAGTCAAGAGAATGAGCTGAGAGTCAGGAGAAGGAGCTGAGAGTCAGGAGAAGGAGGTGAGAGTCAAGCAACGAAGCTGAGAGTCAGGAGAAAGAGCTGAGAGTCAGGAGAAGGATCTGAGAGTTAGGAGAAGGATCTGATAGTCAGGAGAAGGAGCTGAGAGTCAGGAGAACGATCTGAGAGTCAGGAGAAGGAGCTGAGAGTCAGGAGAAGGATCTGAGAGCAAGGAGAAGGATCTGAGACTCAGGAGAAGGAGCTAAGAGTCAGAAGAAGGAGATGAGAGTCAGGAGAAAGATCTGAGAGTCAAGAGAAGAAGCTGAGAGTCAGGAGAAGGATCTGAGAGCAAGGAGAAGGAGCTGAGAGTCAGGAGAAAGATCTGAGAGTCAGGAGAAGGAGCTGAGAGTCAGGAGAAAGATCTGAGAGTCAGGAGAAGGAGCTGAGAGTCAGGAGAAGGAGCTGAGAGTCAAGAGAAGGAGCTGAGAGTCAGGAGAAGGATCTGAGAGTTAGGAGAAGGATCTGATAGTCAGGAGAAGGAGCTGAGAGTCGGGAGAAGGAGCTGAGAGTCAGGAGAAAGATCTGAGAGTCAGGAGAAAGATCTGAGAGTCAGGAGAAAGATCTGAGAGTCAGGAGAAGGAGCTGAGAGACAAGAGAAGGAGCTGAGAGTCAGGAGAAGGATCTGAGAGTCAGGAGAAGGAGCTGAGAGTCAGAAGAAGGAGCTGAGAGTCAGGAGAAAGATCTGAGAGTCAGGAAAAGGAGCTGAGAGTCGGGAGAAGAAGTTGAGAGTCAGTAGAAGGATCTGAGAGCAAGGAGAAGGATCTGAGCACTAGGAAAAGGGGCTGAGAGTCAGGAGAAGGGAAATTATGGTAAGAGGGAGGTAGCTGAGAGTCAGAAAGAGAGAACAAAAAGTCAGTAGAAGGAAGCTGAAAATTGGAAGAAGGCAGCTGTGAGTTAAGAGGAGGAAAACGAAAGTCAGGAGAATGAGATGAGAGTTTGGAGGAGGACGAGAGTCAGAAGGAGAAGATGGGAGTTGAGGGGTTAGATGAAAGTCGGGGAGGTAAGAATTTGGAGATGGTAGGAGGGAGATGAGAATTGGTAGAGAGGAGCAGAGAGTCAGGTTGAAGGGAGGAGGTAGAATTAATTCCTGCTCCGAGATCCGGTCTCTGTCCAGTGATACAACCAAAGGTAAGTGGCCTTGACTGCTTTCATTTAGCACGGGCTCATTTGACCTCCAACCACCACCTATATGTATAGCCACCTCTGATTCTGTCCTATTACAGACACAGCTGCAGAGTGTATTGGCTTCTCTATGTGCCCTGACATCCTGTCAATGGTTTTATTTGCACCGTCTGACAGATAGAAAGCCTCTATTACATAGTATTTGAGGTTGAATAAAGACATATGTCCATCAAGTCCAACCTGTTGTGTGTGTGTGTGTATAGGTCCTTGAGGCATCTCATTCTTAAGAGTACCTGTACCCCTGTACATTACGGTCTCTCAGGAAATCGTCCAAAAGCTTCTTGAATGATTCCACACTATTTGCTGAAATCACTGCTTGTGGCAACGAGTTCCAGACCCTAACCGCTCGAACTGAGAAGAACCCCCTTCGCCCCTTGTGTTTGAATTTTTTGTCTACCAGTTTTAGGTGGTGTCCTCTAGTCTTTGTTACGGAATTAATCTTAAAGAGTTTGTTGCTAATGTTGCTATGACTATAGAACATTATAGACTATAGACTATAGGACGGGCCCTCACTATTGTAGTGAGAACCTACAAATCTGTGTGTGAAATATCATCTACAAATCATGGGACAGCGGACGTGTAAACATGTCAATGAAACATAAGAATTACAGTCAAGTAAAATTTACAATAAGAAAACACAATCTCTGAAACATTGTAGAAATTTCATTTAAACTCCCACCATGGGGCAAAAAAACAACGTCATTGCAGCTTATTTACTAAATTGTATAAAATGATGTCATTGACCCTGTGCATATATATATATATGTTATTGGGGAGCCGACTAATACATTTAAAAGAACACAATTTTGAGATAAACTTCCAAAACTCAGCACTGTCCTTGGAAATTCACAGGGACCAATGAGTATCTTTATACAGCAGCATATATACCGTATTTTGCGGTCCATAAGACGCATCGGACCATAGGACGCAGGGAGGTCCGGCGCGCCTTATGGAGCACTCGAGACTGTAGCTTCTGTGACAGCTTCTATGACAGAAGCTGTGACAGGAGCTGCAGTTAGTGACCGCTGAGACAGGTGGCGCTGTGATTACAGCGCCACGGTCTCAGTGATGACGCAGAGCAGGCGAAGAACGTCTATTCTTCGTCTGCTCTATGGTGATCTCGATCGTCGCCGCTGCTCGGTTTTAATACGAGTGATCTCGTTAGATCACTCGTATTAAACGAGCAGTGGCTCCTACTACTCGCCCGGCGCCCGAAACTGCATGTCTCGGGCGTCGGGATTCGCTCCATAAGACGCAGGCACTTTTTCCCCCTCCTTTTGGGGGGAAAAAAGTGCGTCTTATGGAGCGAAAAATACGGTAAGTGCTGCCATTCGGGAAGTGATACATTTTCCTGGGTCCGTATTGCTGTAGGATTTTCCCTACCTTTCCAGAGGTCTTGATCCCTTTGGCCAGGGAGGCGTAGACAATGACCCAGGCCAGGAACAGGCAGAAGACAAGAGGCCACCGGAGTTCACCAGGATACTCAATACCGGCCGAAATCTTCAACATATTGTACCTGAAATAATAAACATTCGTTCCAGAGCATCTGTGAAACTCGGAATGTGGGAATCATTTCACTCATCAATTCACATTTTTCAATACTAGGTGGATCTAGACCAGTAGTTCTCCACCTGTGTAACCTCGGGACCCACATTTGCCCTTGGTCATTAAGTCGTGACCCAAGTCGCACTGCAATGGAACGCACGGCATTTCGCTACTAGGCGCTCTGGTGCAGGCGATCGAACTGTGGGTGGGAGATGCATTTGGGGTACCATTGAAATGAATGGCAACGCACCTCCTGCCCCAGAATGCACAGTGGATGCAACTGCATGGCGCAGTGCATTAATCGCACAGGACTGTGCAATTAATATACTGTACTAGTGTGAATGGGCCCTCAAAAACACTGACAGACACACACAAACACAATCTCACACACTCAGACATTCTCACACAATATACTCTCCAGGGTAAGCCCCCGGTTGTTCAGCAGGGGCTTACCCTGTCTGAGCATTAGGTTCTGGTGTTACAATGTGTATTATTTGGACCCAGGAGATGTATTACAATGTATACACATAGAAATGCCCCATTGATAGCAATGAATCTGCAAGTCACCGTGCAGTCACACATCTTACTTGAAGTATTCCTCACTCCCGCTGACAAAAGACTTGTTCCCCTGGCTGGTGAAGTTGACCATCGTCAAGTTCGGATAGGCCGTCATGCAGAACGTACTGTTCTTGATTTGGATCCTTGGGTGCTCCCCAAGGATGCAGGAATCTGTACAGAGCAAAGAATGAGGAGGACAGTTATCCTGGCATAGGTAGAAGTTATGAATATTCTGCAAAGGATCGGCCGGGAAATACTGATAATGTGCTACAGCCGGAAGGTTGACTCCATCACCACAATCACCGTCCTTCCTGGTCCACTGAAGCCATAATTCACATGTGCAGTTGGTGGATGCGCTTCCCTTAACCGTGCTGTGCACCCTCATCTCTTTCCTGTATTTCCAGACAGAATCAAACTTCCAAGGAAGGTTTGAATATTTTAGAAGCGTCTCAGCCCTAACAATTGAATGAATAACAAATGACAGGTGCTGGGACCTCAGAATGTATTAGTTCAATAATTCATAATCTCACTGGCACTGGTAAGGTTCCTCACATAGAGCAAGGCCCCCCTTGGTGGGTAACAAGAATGTGACTCAAAAGAAACACCAAACTAGAGCTTTCTTCTGAACTACAACTTAAAATCACTCAGCCTCATAGTTCTAGCCGACCTGTGACAATGAAACTGTCACAGGTCGGCTCAATAGATCGGGAAGTGAGGGAACACATAGCACCCTTCGCTCACTTCTCAATATATCCCTGCAGAGAGCCGTGGCTGTCACTCACGGCTCCCTGCAGGGATTTCCCCCTCCCCTGCCCGATCCTCCAGTGCTGACGGAGGAGGGGGCGGGTACAGCTGGCTCTGCCTCCAGATAGGCAGAGCCAGCTGTCACTCACGCAACTGGGTGGATCTCGACAGTAATGTCGAGATCCGTCCCAGCTGCAGCATCTCTATATACCGCGAGCTGTAGCTCCCTATATACTGAGCTTTGGGTGACGGGAGGACGCTAGTTTGTGTCCTCCCGTTACCCGTAGGAGAACTATGGGGAAAAGCCCTGACCCCATAGTTCTCCTTTAACATCTGTACAATGTAACATTATCGTTGTTTGCCGGAAGCAATGTGTGATGGGATATGTGGCCTTAAGAAATGGAGATTGCCTCACATCAAGCAGCAGGGAAAGAATCAAAGCACGATGGGAATCCAGGAAGTTGTTGGAAGAGATGGGCAGACGGAAGGCGGCAATCACTACATAATACTCATACATCTCTGGTATGTATTCCTATTACAATGCTGATGTCATAACAGGAGAGGATATGCCGGGACTTTACAACTCCTTTAATGATTAGTAATATAATCACTTTGATCATCCAATGCATTTCAGAGGCCAACGCCTCCACACATACCCCCCCC